GACTTTTGAGGATAATTGGTAAGAGGGTATTTATGAATTGGATCATTGATGGTTATAGGTGTTGTAGTTTGGGGCAGTGTTTCGGGAGCGTGATTTCGTGGTTCAGTCCGACATTACAAGGTGAGTTATCCTCACTTTATCAACAGGGTCTAAGGCACCAAGGCCGGCCCTTTCACGGATTGTGTACTGGTATTTGTTTTATATGCTTTTGATCTGTTAGATCTGCGTCCTGGTAGTTAGGACGGTAATATGTTAGTGACCTGGTTAGATCGGTATCCTGGTATATAGGATGATGCTATGTTAGTGACCTGGTTAGGTCGGTATCCTGGTTTAGGATGGTTGCCCTGTTAGTGATCTGTTAGATCTGCAAGTTTACTTGGTTATATGTATGTGCACATGTTTATTGGTTTGGGGAAAGGGTTGAGGTAGGTCCTGCTGTGTGCAGTAGGCCAAGACACCCTGGGCGGACCGGGTAGACTGCAGGCCCGGGCCGGGCAAATCTAGTCAAGCCGAAGGCCCGACGAACGGTCCGGATAGGCTGAAGGCCCCGAGAGGGCAGTCCACACGTGCCGAGGCTCGGAGAATGGACCAGATAGACTGAAGGTCCGGTGCGGGCGGTCCAGTCAGACTGTAGACTCAGAGAGTGGACCACGTGGACTAAAGGCCCGATGCGGGCGGACCAGTCACACTGTAGACTCGAGATGCATGGCTGTTCTGTATTTTTTGATATGATATGATTATGGTTATATGAGGTTGGTATTTGAGGGTAACTCACTAAGATTTCGGGCTTACAATTTCAGTTTATTGTTTCAGGTTCAACGGATGGGCGCGGGTAGGCGAAGGCGTGACCGTACACTTCCTCGATCGACGATTATGATTTCTTGGAACTCTGATGTATAAACTATTTTGAAAAGAAATTGTAATAATTAAATGATTTCAAATGATTTAAAAAGTTTTAAAATTAGCTCGAATTTTATGGGTGTTACAGAAAGTGAAGCAGATAGTGTCACCTCTTCAGTTGACTATTCATTCATGATAATATATGGAAAAATCGATTGCATTTTTAGAGGAAATAGTTGATTATTATGATAAATTTAATCATAGATTTTAGGCATATTGGTTGTGCTCTGGTAATCTGATTTCGATGATTGATGGAATAATACTAGTTTTCGATTTGAAGGTCGCTAGTAGTTTTGATGGAGATGCTCTTAGAAAGTTTCGATCTTGAAAGATTTCGATGGTATTTGTTTTCCATGAGGTACATCCATCGATGGGGGTAATGGTGGTTTAATTTAATTGATTATCGATGTAATATTGCTTTTACCGGTTAACAAAATCAAATAAGAATCGGGGATATTTCAAAACTTATGCAACAACTGAGAAGAAATTTACTGGGTGGCGAGGAGCCATGGTTGATGAATTTAGAGGTGATGTTTTGGTATGTGTTCAAGTTATAGGTATGTGTGTGTGTGTATTGTTGAGTTATAGGTGTGTGTGCATGTTTGTTTGACTTAGGGGAAAGGGAAGAAGACGATGGACGGGAAGTGGGTTTTAAAGGTTTTCGGGTGAGTCTGTGTTTGTGTATGAGAGAGAGGGAGACAGAGATATAAGGAGGGTACCATTGTGGTGGGTGGGTCGTTACTTAGTTTTTCTTTTTATTTTTGAATTAGCATATTAGTAAAATAAATATAGAAATACAGAAAAGAAAATAGAAGGGAAAAATTGTCATTTCAAGTTTACTAGGGACCAAAACCATGAAAAATACTTGATTTTGGACCTTTTATGCAAGTCGGAAACTTTTTGGGCTCTGTCCATAGTTTTTTCATAACCACAGGGACCAATTTTGCAGTTTTACTTTTATACTATGAAAGTGCCTCGACTTACAAGGATACAAGTTGCAAGTCACCTTCTCATAATAAATTCACTAATGTTGATAACCATAATACCTACAACTATAATAAATCACCTCTTTTAAACCATGATTTATTATGAGCAACCAAACCGGCCCTTTGTACAATGTTTACTGCATATCATAATATATTATAATACACCATCTGTATGTTGTTCTAAAAACATGATCTAGTGTATATATCAATATATGTTAAGTTGTCATGGCAAACAAGAAATATCGATTAGCATTTTGCTATGTATATGTTTCTAGTTTTTATTTTTTTAATCTTATCTTCTTGGTGCCTGTTCTTCTTGTTATCTTTTTGTTTTTCTACCACATGCTCGATGAAATGTGAGTGTAACAAACTCTTAGAAACATAACAACATGCTCGACGCCTGTTCTTCGTGGTTTTTTTCTTCTTATCTTTTTGTTCTTCTACCACCTACTTGTATAATGATATTTCCTATATTTTAGAAACACCATACTTTTGTAAAATATAAGAAATAGCAATGCATTTTTAACTGAAAGTTTTATCTTTTTAGTAAACAGCATGAAACAACATACTTTCTCTTTTCTACCAATATGGGTAATGTGTTTTGATTATTATGTTCCTATAATGGATTAAAAGTAACATACATTGTTATTATTGTCTAAAAGTAAAGTGCATTATTATTGTGGTTTAAAAATAAAGTACATTTACTAATTATATATGTTTGTCTTACCATTTTCTTAGATGTGGTAGTATCAGTTACAACTTCAAATGCATTGCAAGTAGAAATGCAACGAAGACAAACACAACTTGAAAACAATAGGCGACTTTTATGTAAGAATTCATTAACCACCTGGTAATCCACCAATTGATTCTTAGTTTTTATGTTTTAAACACTTAGCAATGTATTTGACACTTTGAATGTACACGATATTTTAGTGTAATGTTTATCTTTGAAAAATGATGTTCTTTTGTAATGTGCTAAACAATTAGTAATTTATTTGACATTTTGTAATTGAATGTATTGAATTTTTACTTTATTTTGGCAGAATAAACTGTTGTTTTTAATTACTGTTTAAAAATATGGCATTTTAATATCCGTCACTAAAGTGTCGTCGCAAATACATCGGTAAATTGGTCAAACTTGGTTCCTTCATTGTTTCTATGTCGTCGGTATTCCATTGGTAGGGGTAACCGGAAAACCGAACCATAACCAAGTTAACCGGTATAACTGAACCATTACTAAAAGAAATGATACAGTTTCTAATTTTGATTAATCGAATACATATGGTTCGATTATGGTTTTCATCTAAAACCGAATCACTATAAACTGCAACGAACCAATATTATTAATAAATGTTTTTAATATAATATAATATCAAATATATAGTATGTAACTATATTAAAGAAAATGATATAAAAGCCCTTAAATTTTTATAAAATGTTTGGTTTTACTCTTCAAGACTAGGTGAATGCCCGTGTGTTGCGCAGAAGCATCTATATAGCCGAAATATTTACAAATATATGTATTTTTAAATATAACTATAATGTTGTTGTTAAATTTGATATAATAATTCCTATACTAAGTTGATATAATATATTGATTATTTTGAATTATATGATAATATATATATATATATATATATATATATATATATATATATATATATATATATATCGATTAAAACTGCATAATCTCAATATTTTGAATGACCTCTACCCACGGGTTACTCATTAATAAAATTAAATATAATATATGGTTTAATGTTATTTATAGTTGTTGTTACTATTAATTAATTTTTTAAAATTTATTTGCTTAACGTTTTAATTTCTATCATTGTAATTATTTAAAACATCAAACATTTTTTTTTATTTTAAAGGTAACAATATAATAATTCATATAGAGTTATTTTTAACTATTGTTATTGTCAGTTATTTTAAGCTACTTATTTGAAAACTTTTAACGATTATAAAAATATCTTTAGAAAATATTTTACTTAAATTAATATTGCAATTTAGTTTTTGCATTTAACACTACAATTTATCACTTTTAACTATTCACAAAATATTATTTAGGTTTTTTAGGTGGAACTGAAATTGATGTTGAAGTTGACCCTATAATAGTTATATTTAAATTAACAATTTAAGTATTTTGTCCAAACTGTTGAAAAGTTATAGCTTTAAACTGATAATGGTTTACATACAACAACATATTAAATATAATAAATTAAGTATAATATGTTAAAGTTAAAGACATGACTTTAAAAGTAGAAGTAAAAATATTATTTTAATATTGAAATTTAGTTTATTTATGATTACACTTTAGGTTTGATATTTTTTTAACCTTATTAACCAATTTATAATCATTATTAGAAAGATACAACAATTTATCACTTTTAACTATTTACAAAATATTTTTTTGGGTTGTTTAAGTTGAACTAAAATTTATATTTAAGTTGATCATGTAAGGTTATATTTAAATTAACAATTTAAGTATTTTATACAAATCGTTCAAAAGTTGGCGCTTTAAAATGATAATGGTTACATACAATAACATATTAGACCTAGTTTATGAAGTATAATATGTTAAAAGTTATAAATATAACATTATAAGTAGAAGAAAATATATATTTATTTAACCATATTAACCAACATATAATCATTATTAGAAAGAAATTGAAAATGCATGATAGTTTCAAATGAATGTGGTGAAAGGAAAAATGTTTCATTTATAATGATAATGATAATGATAATGATGATAATGAAATGATAATGATTTTTTTGTGTTTGCGAAAGCCGAAGGTTTGGTTAGTTTTTTGCATTTTGCCCTTTTAAGGGTTAGCCGTTGCATACCTGACATGTCAGCGGTGTGGGCCCATTTGACTGACATGGCACTAAAACCTGTTGCTTAATTAAAAATGAACAATTAAGAAAATAATGACAACAACAAAACTCAAACGCCCTACTTCCAACAAACAACCAAGTGCCCTTACCAATAGGCTGCAACAACTTCGATGAATTAATCCTCAACTTCTGAATATATTATAAAATACTGATATTATTATATTATTATTTTTATTATTATTATTATTATTATATATATTAAACTTGGCTTCCAACATGAATAGTGAACTGGTGAATAGTTTGGCAAAAATGGTCCCTTAAGTATATTTTTTTTAACGGGGGCATATTTTGACATTAGGTACATTCTTTAGACACGTGTCGGTCATCGTTGCATTTATCGGACTGTATTGTATTTGATGTTTATCAATTGGATGCTTCTGGATTCTTTAGATAAGTAGTCCACCACCGATTTCCTTCCCACCTGTCTTTGGTTTTGTCACAAGGCGGTTCCTTCATCGCATATCCCAAACTCAATCACCACTTTCCCAACCCACCTCTCCTGCTACGCTATCTGATTCCTTTCCAGGAAACGTCAGAATCGACTCGATTGTTAGGAAACAAGTTTCCAGTTCCTTCATGCCATATCCGCAAATCATCCGCCACTTTCCGTCATCGGGTAAGTTTGCGCATCCGAGTGGTTTTCTTCTACTATTTTCTTCTAATTGATACATGTTGTCTTCGTTATCTCCGATGGTTCACAACGTCTATAACTTCCTGGTATTGGCAACGGTGGTGGAAGTGGCGGACTGTACGACGGTGGTGGTGGCAGTTACCGTCCAAACCCTAATTACTACTATCAACCTTGAAACCCTACTCCTCAAAATCAATTTCAGTAGTAGCGGCAGCAACCACAGTACACGCAGAGGTAGCAGTGTCGACAACTAAACAACACACATCAGTGGCTAAGACGGAACCCTATCGGTATGTGTTTCTTTTGTGTGAGTTTATCAATCTATTTCACATCTCTCTGCTTGTACGCAGCTTTATTTATCAATCGTTTACAAGCTTCAGAAGAACGATAGAAACAACTCACTCGCTACCAGATCTTTGGGAGCATTTCTTTCTTACACATCTTCTCCATATCAAAATTTGGTACCACTTCCTTCTGTGGCTTTGCCTTCAATCAGTTAATTATCTTCTTCATCCAGTCGAAGAAGAAGGAGTTCATCCTTTGGTAACTTTCTGTAAATCTTAAAACCCTTTGAAAATTTGATGAGAAGGTTTAATTAATAATTTTATAAACCAAATGTTTAATGTGGTTTTGGGTTCTTTGATCATCAAGACATCGAGCTAATTTTGGTGCTCTCATTGAGAAACAGGCATCTATGGAGTCTTACTTTACCATATTTCGATCCCTAACCTGTATGATCCCCTACTGCTTCCCCATCAGGTTCCATCTTCTTGGTTCTAAGTTGAAATTTATTATGCTTCACAAATTGGCCCATTTATAGTTAATTAATTACATAAATTTTGTTGTTTCTTATGTTTTCAGATAAAATTCCTAAACCTTCCTATCCTTATTTTATCAATTCGTATCAATTGACCTTTCTTTTGATATTCGATCGAAGTTTCCTGTGGAGGTTTGGTGAAATTTTGTTCCATATTAGGGATTACTAAAATTGAATTTTTGTTATTGCAGAGTCGCTGGTCTTGTCACTTGATGAAGGTTGAGCGGTTTCTTCTGGAAGCATAGCATGTTTGGTTCGTGGTTCTTTTTAGATTGGTAATTAAGTTTTTCAACTGATTGAGGTTCGTCTCTGTGAGACTTGAAATTTGTTCATTTTTATATAACAACATATATAATTCTAGATTAACAACTCCAAAAGTTATATGTGCAGACCAGGTGTTTGATACCTCAAAGAGATGAACGTCTTCCAAGCACAAGATTGAGTAATACCAAACGAAGAATAAAAAGGTTTGTGTTTTTTCTGGGTTTGATTTTTTCTAAATTAAAACTTAAATTATCATCTTTTGTTGTTTAATTTCCCGAAGCTCTGTTTCGTTTGTTCAACAATTTGGGAACTAGAAGAGAGAGTGTTGTCGTTATTAAGGAATCAACTATCTACGGTTTTACTTTTCCTTTGAAGATTAAATATTTTTTGGCCATATCCCCTTCGCTGTTTGAATACGATTGGAAAGAAATAATCTATTTATAGTAAAATGGTTCCATGTACAGGTAGGTACTTGGTGATATGGTTCTTTTTGCTCAACCTCCAAATCTGGTCTCATGTAAGAAGTAGGAAAAAATCCAAAGCAAAATCTTTTGCAGAGAAAGTAAGTTCCAGATGCATGTGTGGTTCGTTGTTTCTTTGCTACTCACATGTTAAACACCTTAGTCTTTAAGGTCATTTGAGTCTTTTCTTAAATTTTGTCATATTTTTTTTTTCTGGAAAACCATATATTGAATCCTTGTGGTATTGAAATCCATTTTTAGTTTATTAGTATAAGAGTTATTTTCTCAGTACCTTTATATTTTACATGCATAATAACCATTTGATGAAATGTCCCAATGAAATTCTGTTTTGTTATATGCATTTTTTTTTATTTTTAGGAATATTCAAAAATAGGTTGTCTGTTAAGAATAGTCTTCTTTATAAATTAAAGATGATGCAGTTTTGTGGACCTCACAATTAATGCAGTTGAATGTGTGAATAGATGCATCTCAGCTGGTGGTGGAATTTCAAGTGAGTATGTTAATTTTTTTAATAAAAGAGGATTCGAATGTTTATTTGTTCATTTATTGTAGTTTTACTTACTAACTCTTCCATTTGTATGACCATAAAGGGGACAACCTGACTCGATCTTTAGAATCAACTACACAGATTCTTAGATTGGAGAAGATTAGAAATGTACATCAAGAACAATAATGGTTCAAGTACCCGTAAAATTCAAATTTAAATTTTTTTTTTATGTTTTTTTAACATATTAGGCTAATTCCTTTATTTCTAAGCAAGAGGTTTTATTAAGTTTAGTCCTGAAACGTACTGGAATCAGGTTCTGTTACACTCAATAAGGGCTCCATTGATGTCCTGTTGCTTGAAAGCTTTTCCCAGCTTCCAGTCGACATTCACATATCGCAACCTCTAATTTTATCGTCCGTAGATGTCGGCACCATCGGAGAAGGACGAGTGCCCGAGAACCTGATTCCAGTACGTTTCAGGCCTAAATTTTTCTAATTCGATGGTTTGTTGATTTCAATTTTTGAATTAATCGTTTATATGGTTATCGACATGACCTTATTACTATGCAGTACGACACTTGATACAAACTCAGTGAGGAAGAAACGAAGGAAAAGGATCATTGTCAGTGACCCATACTGATTACGTAAGTTCGTTATCAATATTAGATTAGATTGTTTCCGAAAGTTTGTTTCCCGTTGGCCCATCTAATAGTCAGCTATTCCAAAAAAAACCTCAAAAGTTGTTGTTTTTTAACCAAAAAATCTCAAAAGTGGTTATTTGTATTTATAACAGGAAAAAACACACGCTGCAATTCCAGGATGACTTTCACTTTGCAGTACCTTAACAACTGCACTATTGAAGGTTTGCTAAACTAAAGTTTTTTTTGTTAATCTTCTTCTTAGGAACATGTCAACAACAAACTTGATGCACTTTATGAAGAGGCTGTAGGAAGAAGAGCATTGCACTGAGTTGACATTAAAAACCCATATCCATTCGTCAGAGTTTCTATCTCAGTAGTCAACTATTCAATTTTTTTTCATCCATATTATCGTATTTAATTCTTATATTATCATGTCTTTCATATTTGATTTCTCTTATCTCTGTTTGATTTCGCTTCGTTTTTGCACAGGTTCCGGAGGAGGTTGCAGGGGCTTTATAGAACACGCTACGAAATCTTCTGTTGAGGTAATTTTCAATCTTATGCTTTTAATTTGACGTAATTATTGGACGTGTGGAATTCTAATCTGATGCTTCTATTTGAATTTCCAAATCAACAACATGTGTTTTTTTAGTACAAATTTAGAAAATTACATTGGTGGAAAATTACCTTTGTTTTCTTGGATCCTCCGTATAAATCAACTGTACAACAAGTGATGAGGCAACAATAACTTTCAGGTCAGTAAAGTTTGCCCAATGTATGTTTCCACTTGCAAATTAAAAAACTAATATATGTTACAAATGTTGATGATTCTTTTGTTAAATAATTGCTTCTGCAGACTTCATGGCGATCAGGATCTTGAGATGGCTTCAAAATGGATTCAAAAAGACTTGAAGGACTTGCAAAAGGATCCACGTGCTTCTTGTAGTGTTGGTTATTTTTTTTTATTTTTTATTTTATATTGAAGTTGTTTGTAATTTATCTTTTCTTGTTGAGGAAAATATGTTCTATTGGCAAGCAATCATAAAGTTTTGTTTGACAGTCAAATGCATTCTATGATCCAATGACGATTATTGTCCCTCCTATCAAGCTACCACATGCAATAAATCATGTTGGTGTTTTAATATATGTGTTATGTTATTTAGTTATAGTGAGTGGTGGCAATTAATATTGTTGCTGCTGTTGATTTGTTGTTTGTGCTGCAGGGGTCCACCAATACTTCACCCAAACAGCCAAACCATCCCATTTGTGCCTAACATCACACCAGGTGGACGACAAAAGGTAGGTTGTACTGTTTCACACATTTACCAATCTATGCCATAATATTCCATTTTTTCTTTTCGCTTTTTATAGCATTACACTTTCAAATATTCACTAATTACGCATTATAGTCTGAGAATTACATCCATTTATAGCATCAAATTCGTTGATTTCTTCTTTGAAGTTTTTTGCTTATGTGGTGTTATTTGAAAATGTGGTAATCGTTTGCCACATCATCATCATTTCGACTGCCACATAAGCAAAAAGCAAAAAAAAAAAAATGAAATGGTATCCTATCCAGTAACCGGTTCTCCGGGTTAAAATTACAGGCTTATTGCAAGGATATTATCAAAAGCGGACACCATAGCACTTTTAAAATAAGTTGTTAATCAAATATTTTCACCTAACTATGATGCTATAATTAGGTAAAATGTTCATTGTCTTGGATTTAGAAAAAAAATTCAATTATTTACGACTGGGAAATAACCCATTAAGTATAAAACAGCAGGTTTGAAAATTATCCGGATTTGTGGATGACAAATCTTATATTTAAGATGGCAACTTACTTTCATTTGAACAAGAAATGGTAGTTCGTTAAGGAAAAGTTATTGTTCAGATACCATTACAATTTATCCAATTAGGTTATAATTTTTCTGTTGTTAAAAAAAAAAAAACCGTCCCGTGGCAAATAACCTGCTTCTTTTTTTTTCCTCATAAGGTGTTGTGTGGATTAAAAGTAGTCTGACCATTTTATCCTTCTGTGTGGAAAATGGATGTAAGCATTCTTTCATGTTTCATGTTATATTCATCATTTCATCGTGATATAGAAGTTGTTGGATTGTTTTATATAAATGATATATATGTATATATGCAGGCAAACACACTCTTAAAGTAGGTAGTTCAGCAACTGGACTGGGCCTACAATGTCGTTGAACATTGGATACATTTTTTTGTGAAGACTGTAAGTTTATATAATGTTCTTCCATTAAGTTTAATGGAAAATTCAATTTGACCGCTTAATATTTTCAACACCGGCTACACTCACCCTCGATTATAGTTGTACTTGTAATTGTAATTTTGGTCAGTTTGTATATGGGAATGGACTGTTTCCTTGATGTAATCACATCAAGAACAAGATCAGGCTGCAGTGAGTTATGGGAATGGACCTGTTCTTTCCCTTGAATGGGAATCACATCAGAAAATGTCGCCCAACGCTTCAAAGTAAGAAGACAATCAGGCTGCAGTGAGTTATGTTTAAACCCTTTTTATTACAAATCATGAATTTGTTTAACTTAATAATTAGAAAGTACTATAGAGTAATAAAATAAATAGTTATAGTTCAAAGGGTATAACCAGCCATTGCTGCTGCTATGTGGATGTATTTTTTCGTTTTTTTTTTAAAAATTAAATATATTCCTATTATTATGTATTCAACTTTTTTTTTAATTAATATGAATCCTTGTAACGAGATGAAACTATTTACATACAAGGTTGGTTTAGAATTTGTCTTCATGACGTTTTGCTTACCGCACTGAATTTGTTTTCCTGCCCCAAGTCGGCTGCAATTACCAGCCCTTAATCATTCCTTTATGTCCCTTCAACTCAATTATTTTTATCCTCTAAATTTACCATATATGATGCTACAAAATAAAATATCCGTTAAAATACAAGTATTACTTCCTATTACATACCGAAAACGAAAGGACTAAAACCTTGGTCGTAACCAAACCCCGCGGAGCGGGGTGCCCCAGCTAGTTATTATTACTATTATTACTATTATTTTTTTAATTATTATTCTTATTATTATTATCATTACTATTATTAATATATATTTTAAATAATATAAACATAATTTTTTAAATACATACAATATGTTTTTTGATATATAAAATACGTTTTTGACGTATAAATACATTTTTTGATGTATAAAGTATGTTTTTTGATGTATAAATATGTTTTTAAATCCATAAATACTTAAATACAAATTTATATATTTCTTGATGTATGGAATATGTTTTTTGATGCGTAAATACGTTTTTAAATATAAAAATACGTTTTTAAATATGCATATACGTTTTTAAAAATATAAATACTTAAAATATGTTTTTTTGATGTATAAAGACATTAGAAAATGTATTTATATGTTTTTATATGTATAAAAACTACTTTTATATGTATAAATAATGTTTTACAGGTGTAAATAACATTTTAATACATATTTAAACATATAAAAATGTTTTTTATATGTTTACATACGTAATTATACACTATGTATAAAAATGTTTTAGCATATTTATTTGTATACATTATGTATAAAGGCATATAAATAACGCAAATGTAGTTAGTATGTGTATATGTATTTATATCGTATAAAGCATATTGTATGTAAAAAAAATATTAAAATACTCTATAAATACGTTCAAAAATATCTTTACATGTTTATACATGTATAAAAATTGTTTTTATACGTATAAATAACATTTTTATATAGTTAAATAATATTTTTTATACATATAAAAATGCACCAATATATTTTTATACGAAAAGAAAAAACATATATATCTAATAAATACGTTAAAACATATTTTTATGCAACATAAATATGATTTTAAAAATAAAATCTTTCGATTCTAAACGTATAAGAATGTTCCAAAAAATTGTATAATAATAATAATAATAATAATAATAATAATAATAATAATAATAATAATCGTAATTATACATTATATGGGATATTTGAGAAATTAAAATACAAAATACGTGTTAGCTTACTGTAAAGGCAAAGGTAAACTCAATCGTCCACATCAACGCCGACATGGAGCTCCAATTACTATCCACGTATGCTGCAACCGGCTGGTGACCAGCTACTGATTAAAAGGGCAAAAATGCACAATCTTTATATACTTATAAAAGAAACATTTTTCCTTTCACCACATTAATTTGAAACTCCCATGATGCATTTTACTCAAACCACATTCATTTGAAACCTCTTATTTGAATGAATACCACTCAAAAGTCTCTTAATAATTATTAACTATTCAAAGGTTTTATAATTGATATAATATGTTTAATAAGCAATTAATGGATAGTCTACTATAAAAAACCAATCTCTTTGAGTATACACACAAATACCAATCACATACAAAATTCACAAAGAAAACAAGTCTAAAGGCTTTTGTGTTGGTTTGAGGGTTTTGGACCATTTTTCGAGCCATGTTATTATGTTAAAGTTTTAATTTGTAAGTTTGTTATATATCAATTCTTTTTTTTTTCTAGGTTTAAGTATTCTTTTAAGACAATCATTGTATGTTGTGGTTGAAATTTTAATGTAAATTTGATTAGATTTATGTTGTCCATCATATGTTATAGATTGTGATATAGATAATATTTAATTAAATATTGTATATATGTTTGTATGTTTGTGTTGCTTTAAATGAATAATTAGTTAAAAATCATGGATATGTCATATTATCCATGTAACTCTCTTTTAAAATGCAAATTAATAATAATAAGTTGTTTTAAAATTAACGAAAAATAGCTATAAATAATAAAATCAAATTATAAAAATCATAGATATGTCTTATTATCCATGTAATTCTCTTTTGAATTGCAAATTGTCAATCTTATCACTTTATTATTTAGTATATGTTTCATTTTTGAATAATAATATTAAGTGTTTCTTAAAAGTCTTCTTTAACTTATTAATAATAATAAGTGCTTCATAATTAATGAACACTAATTTTAAATGATAATAACATCAAATTATAAATTACATAACGTTAGCTATAAATAAACTGTATTTTAAATGAACATAATTAATGAAAATAGAAAATAATTGCATACGTAAAAATTTAAATTAATCAATCATAACAATTGTTAAAAATAATACTAAATAGATAATTATATTTAATTTTATTAATGATGAAGGTAGGTTGATGGCAATCAATATAATTGTTCAAAATAGTTGAGATTATATATATATATATATATATATATATATATATATATATATATATTAGTGTAAAAATATTATGTCAAAGTTAATGTCAATAACATAACCATTATAAACATATATTTTTCAATATTCTAACAATGTATTTTTAACCTGAGACGCGCGAGAATTTTTCAATATTCTAACAATGTATTTTTAACCTGCGCCGCGCGGGAATTCGTCTAGTTATACTTAAACCTAAGAGCTTTTATAGCATTAGATTATAAAACAACTCAATCATCAAAGACTTCAAAGACATATTGACAGGGCTGCACTTTGCTTCATCAGCAATGTATACCTTTTACAGCATAAATTCCAACATCACACAGGATTCACCATATTATTATGTTTATTATTCCGATAGCAACTAATTAAGTCGTGAAACAAAGCGATTTAGAATCAATGAGAACTTAATGAATGACCTCCACAACGATTCAAACAACACACAGCAAACCAGAACCAAAACCACTATGGACCTCCTGATTA